AAAAAAGCTTTTAGCCAATCCTCTCCCTGGCTGATTCCAGCTGATGTAGTGGAAGTGACTGACTGGCACCAGTCCGGGCACTGCTGGCACTGCCCTGTGTCCCTTGGGTGGCGGTGGCTGTGTCCCCTCCCTCCTCCTCCTCCTCCTCCTCCCCGGGCAGGGCACTCTCATCACTTCGGTTTTCTACCTGTGAGTACTGTATCCAGTTCAGAACCAACAGCTTCCTTTAGTAAAGATTTTACCATTTTATAAAAGACATGTTTAATTATGATGGAGATGGCTGTATTGTAATTAATATTTTGAGATAATTGTGATTTTGAGCTTAAATTATATACAGAAATGGTCATTTTTGTATGTGTTCAAAGATTGCTATATTCCAGATGACTGTACTTTTCAGTTGAATTCCAGTATCCATGTAAATAAAGCTGAATGAGGAAATATTTACTACTTTATTAACATAGATTGTGAATGTACTTCATGTTTTTTGCAGTATAAAGACTTACTGAACTTGAAAGCTGCTTCATTTTATGTGCAAAAAGGTACTTCAAAAATTCTATTTTAAATCTATTGATTGAGTGCAATCAGCTCCTGTCCCCTGGCACATGCAGGTTGTCCCCTCCCCGTGCTGTGGGGCTGCTGCATTTGGCAGCTGCTCTGCAAAGAGGGAGCCCAGGGACTGAACCGATGCTGTGCAGTGCAGCAGAGCCATTTTCGGCTTTGCTGTACCCACCTTTTTCAGTATTTCCAAAAAAAAAAAGTGTTTTGAATAACATTAAAAAGTCTCTTTATTGTATAAATAATAAAAACGTCACCTTATTGTAAGGCTTTCGGGTGGTTTTTGTTTTTTTCCTGGCAGAAAGGACCTTTCAGAGGGTGGGGAAGGGTGGAATGAGTCTGGAAAATCGGGCAACTCCCAAACTCCCTGGCTACAGCCAGGGGAAACATCAAATATGGAAAGGGAGCGATGGGAATGGGGGAGAAAACTCAGGTTTGGCAGCTGTGGGGGCAAATGTGTGGAAGGATAAATGCATGGAAGGAATGGATGAAAGGACAAAATGTATGGAAGGATAAATGCATGGAGAATGAATGCATGAAGGAATGGATGAAAGGACAAAATGTGCGGAAGGACAAATGCATGGAAGGATAAATGCATGGAAGAAATGGATGAAAGGACAAAAATGTATGGAAGGACAAATGCATGGAAGAAATGGATGAAAAGACAAAAATGTGTGGAAGGACAAATGCATGGAGAAAGAATGCATGAAGGAATGGATGAAAGGACAAAAATGTATGGAAGGATAAATGCATGGAGAATGAATGCATGAAGAAACGGATGAAAGGACAAATGCACGAAGGACAAAATGCAGGGAAACAAAAGGGGGCAGGGGTGAGGGCAGCAGCAGCTCCATCACCCAAGGAGCTGCAGAAGTGGCCCTGGAGCTCCAGGTGTCCCCTGCTGTCACTGCACACAGGCCCTGCCATCTGCTGCCCACAGGACAGATCCTGCCCTTCCCATGCCCACTCCTCCAGACCTTTCCAGCCCATTCCCATTTCCCTGCAGCCAGGACCAGGTTCTGCTCCCCTCCTTGGGGACACAGGGAGGTGCAGCTGGGCCTGAGCCCCCTGAGCCATCCCTGCTCCAGCTGGAAGGCAATTCCCACACCTGGGCAGCTGAGGGTGTTTTATGTTCATTTGGACACGTTCAAAGCCTGGGAATTTTAGTGAGGAACAGTAAAAAATCCTGCAGTGCTACAGAACCTCCAGGGCTGTGTGCATGAGGCCCTGAGGGGCTGGAGAGTGTCCAGGGAGGGAATGGCCTCAGGGTGGACACCAGCAGGAATTTCCCCATGGAAAGGGGGCTCAGGCCTTGGAGGGTGGTGGAGCCCACCCACAGCACTGCTACATTAAAGGTACCACCTGCAGGACCTTTGGAAGTGTGTCTGAACAAGAGAAGTTCTCAATGTTCCCGTCTACAGAGCTCAGTTACAGCTGGAAAGACCCAAGGCAGACATCCAAGGGGAACATTTATTGTCTCAGCACAGCACCAGCCCCATCTTCACTCAGGTGAGCCCTGCACACAACCTGGGGCACCTCTCTCCACCTCACCCACACCACGGGGCAGCTCAGGGGACAGCAGTGAAACAACAGAAAACAGGAATACAAACCCCACAGTGCTCCCTTCTGCCTTTGGCCCATGGTGACAACTCCCTCAGAGCCCAGCTCAGCTGCAGGGAGGATTGTGCCTGGCTGAAGGCAGCTTTCCTTGCTGCCCTTTATTACAAACAGTGTAAACAGAGAGGAAGGGATCCTGAACTCCCTGCTGGAACATGCAAGGGCAGGGAATGTTTCGCAGCTGGGTCCTTAACACTGGGCAGACTCCCAGCCAGGAGCAGAAGGATGGAAGCAGTGGAGCCCAGGGGTGCTGGTGGGACAGGGGGGACCTGGCTGCTCCTGTGCTGCTGGAATGTGAAACTCTGCAGGTATTAGAGCAGTGCAGCTGTGCCCTTGGCCAGGCCAGGCTCAGGTGGGAATGGCCAGGGCTCAGTGGGAATGGCCAGGGCTCAGTGGGAATG